TTCTTCATTCTTTAGTTTCAAGTGGTATTATACTTATAAGTATGTATTAAGTGTGTAAAAATTGTACTTTGAATGTTTAAATACATAGCTATATGCAATGTGTGCTACGTATAAAACTAAACAAAAACTGCAATCCAAGTAACATAACATTCGTACGTCGAGAATAATGAATATAATTTTGTTATCGGTATGTCAGATCCATTTGCCAAAGTAGTAAGTTATATATTCTTCAAAGGGCAATTGTTGAAAGTTTCTACAATATAAAAATATATTACTAATAACCTAGTTAAAAAATGTGAAAAATTAATGCTTGAAACAGACATGAAGTTGAAAGTATACTTATTCACATAATACAAGTTCCATTTGTTTACTTTCTGCACATTTGTTTAAAGATCGAAGTAGGTGAATGGATTGACTTATTGAAAAAATTAAATAATATTAATATTGTGAATACCGTCAGTACCGTTAGTACTGCAGACACGTCTATCAGAATGAAATACTCGTAAATGCCAAAAATATATAGATTTCGTGAGGAGGTATGAGACGACGGAATTTACTCAATATTACATCCCATCGTGGTGAATTAAACAATTTTCCCGTGTTGCTTGTATTTTGTATATAAAATCGAACTATGCCTGATTGTATCTATGTAATTTATGTGTATATTATGTATTTTATTGTGCGTTATTGGCTAAACCCAGTCCTGTTCAGTATTGACCTTGAAATCAATGTGGTTTTCTACAGTTTCAGTTATTTATAGTACACCGAAAATCAGAATGTTTCTCTACATTACTCTACTGTCTAGATGTTTTTTTTAACAATCTGCGTGATAAGAGTACGGTGGATAACTATTGTGACTGTCGGTGTGTTTGTATTAGATAAAGCGATAACTCATTTGTGCGTATTCGATATAAATGCAATAAAGTAAGCACAAAAAATGAATAGAGAAATATTAAAATGTATAAGGTTTTAAAATCATGAATAGGATTGGGATTAACGAAGCGCCATGGATAAAATGAAAGACTTTTCACCTCAAGGATACTTCTGTCAAATTATCTAAAAAAATATGTGACTTTCATTACTTTTTGTAGAGAACACTACACATGATATATGATAAGGAAAGTTTTTGGGTGTTATTATAACACATACAGGGTTAGTCGCTTATGATCTTCACCTAGAACATCTTCGTTGTTTTTAATATAATATGATAAAATATATAAAGACAAAATCCAAGGGATATTATTGTGGTACAGAGATTTTTTTCTCAAGATTATTGCTTCTTTGAGTCAAATATTTTTTTCTTCTATAGTTTCTCGTATCATTAAACGCAGCGGATATATTTTAAATGCAAATTGTAGGCGACTCATCCTACATAAAGTGCAAAATAACTACTGTTAAATTCTGTTTTTATGATAAAACTCTCACTGCATTCCTGCAAAATTTAAACTTTCTTCAGGGTGAACCCTTTTTGTGATGGACATTTTCAACTATTCTAAGAATATGCTAGTCTTCATCGAATTATATTTCTTAGTGATAATAATGGATAAGGTTGGAGTGTTTGACCACGTTTATTTCGTTACGGCTCGAAATTTCGGGCCGAGTCTCGAAAGCTCGTAAAGTTCGGGTACCTGCACACTCCTGGGATAAGGCAATAGCCATGAAACAAAAGTTTTAATATTGCAAATTTTTAATGTAATAAAACCCAACAAGTTTCTTTATCATATCGTATTCAGTCTTAAACAAGAAATAATAAAATTCACTTTTTAGATAGTATAATCGGGAAGTACCCTTAACAATTTCTCTCCTATGATTGATAACTGTTATCAGTGATGGAAACCATAACAATTCCGCGGTTTAAAAACAATTTTTGGAAATGTCACTATTACAGTCTAAAAACTTTTTACAATTCAAATGTATATTTTGATATAGATTCTGAAATTATATTTAAAAACAAAAGTATTTCATATTCTTTCATTCGAGCAAAGTGCAAGAATTTTTGAAGATTTCAAAGTTTCTGTATTTTTCCATTATTTGTTCAGTACTATTCGAGTAATTCTACATTCCATCACTAATGGTAACGTTTAATGCAAAGAAAAGTATATCGCACATGTTGTTAATCGTTATGCAATAATTGAATGTATTTAAATGTAATCAATGTGAAACGAAACGTTGCGTTGAACGATAATATATATACCATGATAACGAAGATCTTTTTTATCTTGGTAAATATTAATTCTCGCATTATTTTATTACTAAGTAATATTAAAATAGTTTCGTATTGTAGAAATCAAAATTTTAATTTATTAATAATAAAACTTTAATTTGTTTATATCACAGATTTAACAATAAAACTGACCTCTTAGATTTAAATCTCAAGAATTCAAAATAGGACTGCAAGGTCTCGGGTAATTGCATTGTAGAGAAGAAAATTATTTCATAATCTGTAAATCTCTTTTAATAATGTACTCACAAGCAATAATTAATTTAGTATATGATTTAACTTACATAACGAAATTCTTTATTTAAATTATAACTTGTTAACTACTTCCAATCATATGTAATCATTATAATTTCATGTAAATGAATTAATTAAACATGATAACTATGTTTTTTTAGTAGTTTCTTATTTGAAATATACGTTAGCAATACACCGTCATTATTATATCGTAATCCATGTTTTCATAAATAACACTGAACCAATTTATTACCACATATTACTCAGAGATCTTCTTCATACATGGTTATGTTATTGAAACTATTTCTGTAGAGACTTATCCGAATGTTTATTTTTACAATTCTAGTTTCCACACGTTTTATTATCTAATCATTATATTATTTAGATACATTATCGCCTAGCAGTGAACTCGAAATTATTAGATAACAGGATGTTTTAGTATCAGGATATTATAAAAATAAACTTGGATTTTATCATAATGTCAATCTACTGAATGAACTTCTTCAAATCTTATGTTTCTAACAGTTGTGTATCAAAAACTTCGAATAAATAAGTCATTTTAACAGGTAACAAGTTTTATTTTGCCATTGGAATAAGCCATTTTTCGCAGATGTGTTTTTAAGCATAAAAACTGATATAATTAATTTACAAGTTAAACTCCATTACGCATTGGTAGATCAGTAGTAGAATTCTCAGCACTTCAACTCGATACTTGATATTTATTGACACCATAATACTGTAACAAATTAAAATATATTTTTTTTCTTGTAAAATATAATTTACATTATATTCAGTATATTACAGTTTAATCAGTATGTTTAAGAACAGAAAATTGTCATCTCTTTTGTTCAGGACTCTAGCCAAAATTTCATCACAAAGAACGTATTATTAAAGAAATTGTAATATTACACAGTATAAACATATCATTATTCATACACACACCGTCTGCAACGGGAATCAACAACGGCAGACAACAAAAGAAAATTCTAACATTATTAGTAGAAAACGTTGTCGCAAGAAGACAATATTCTCCCAATATTACTTATTCTCTATTTTGAGAGTCAGGTTAAGGATTACTTACATAATATTTTAAGAAAAAGTAAACGAGATATTTACAAACATGCCTATCGGCAAGCCATCTTCGATTGCAGAAGCATGTATGTGAAAAGAGGAAGNATGTGTACCATATGAAATTTTTATGCAAGGTGTACAGTGAAGATTAACAAACTTCGTAAATGATATTTTAATTTAAATAATTCCGTGTCCGAACAGAATTCAACGAATGATTCGCAACGCTGATTTAATAATAAATAATCGCGTTAAGGAACGTAAAGGAATTGTTTATTAGAGAAATATGAAAAATATCGATAAAAAACTCACCCATTTAGTTGAGGATGCATTTGCTGACTCGTACGCACTGACCTCGTACAACGAACAGCTGATTCCAGGTCGATGACCGCAACATTCGAGGGATACTGACGGAAGAACCTCTGATATGGTTATTTGCGAAGTTCACTTACACTGCACTGGCATATTCTTTCATTCGAGCAAAGTGCAAGAATTTTTGAAGATTTCAAAGTTTCTGTATTTTTCCATTATTTGTTCAGTACTATTCGAGTAATTCTACATTCCATCACTAATGGTAACGTTTAATGNGCATATTCTTTCATTCGAGCAAAGTGCAAGAATTTTTGAAGATTTCAAAGTTTCTGTATTTTTCCATTATTTGTTCAGTACTATTCGAGTAATTCTACATTCCATCACTAATGGTAACGTTTAATGCAAAGAAAAGTATATCGCACATGTTGTTAATCGTTATGCAATAATTGAATGTATTTAAATGTAATCAATGTGAAACGAAACGTTGCGTTGAACGATAATATATATACCATGATAACGAAGATCTTTTTTATCTTGGTAAATATTAATTCTCGCATTATTTTATTACTAAGTAATATTAAAATAGTTTCGTATTGTAGAAATCAAAATTTTAATTTATTAATAATAAAACTTTAATTTGTTTATATCACAGATTTAACAATAAAACTGACCTCTTAGATTTAAATCTCAAGAATTCAAAATAGGACTGCAAGGTCTCGGGTAATTGCATTGTAGAGAAGAAAATTATTTCATAATCTGTAAATCTCTTTTAATAATGTACTCACAAGCAATAATTAATTTAGTATATGATTTAACTTACATAACGAAATTCTTTATTTAAATTATAACTTGTTAACTACTTCCAATCATATGTAATCATTATAATTTCATGTAAATGAATTAATTAAACATGATAACTATGTTTTTTTAGTAGTTTCTTATTTGAAATATACGTTAGCAATACACCGTCATTATTATATCGTAATCCATGTTTTCATAAATAACACTGAACCAATTTATTACCACATATTACTCAGAGATCTTCTTCATACATGGTTATGTTATTGAAACTATTTCTGTAGAGACTTATCCGAATGTTTATTTTTACAATTCTAGTTTCCACACGTTTTATTATCTAATCATTATATTATTTAGATACATTATCGCCTAGCAGTGAACTCGAAATTATTAGATAACAGGATGTTTTAGTATCAGGATATTATAAAAATAAACTTGGATTTTATCATAATGTCAATCTACTGAATGAACTTCTTCAAATCTTATGTTTCTAACAGTTGTGTATCAAAAACTTCGAATAAATAAGTCATTTTAACAGGTAACAAGTTTTATTTTGCCATTGGAATAAGCCATTTTTCGCAGATGTGTTTTTAAGCATAAAAACTGATATAATTAATTTACAAGTTAAACTCCATTACGCATTGGTAGATCAGTAGTAGAATTCTCAGCACTTCAACTCGATACTTGATATTTATTGACACCATAATACTGTAACAAATTAAAATATATTTTTTTTCTTGTAAAATATAATTTACATTATATTCAGTATATTACAGTTTAATCAGTATGTTTAAGAACAGAAAATTGTCATCTCTTTTGTTCAGGACTCTAGCCAAAATTTCATCACAAAGAACGTATTATTAAAGAAATTGTAATATTACACAGTATAAACATATCATTATTCATACACACACCGTCTGCAACGGGAATCAACAACGGCAGACAACAAAAGAAAATTCTAACATTATTAGTAGAAAACGTTGTCGCAAGAAGACAATATTCTCCCAATATTACTTATTCTCTATTTTGAGAGTCAGGTTAAGGATTACTTACATAATATTTTAAGAAAAAGTAAACGAGATATTTACAAACATGCCTATCGGCAAGCCATCTTCGATTGCAGAAGCATGTATGTGAAAAGAGGAAGAGGATTCTGAAAAATATAAAATTCATCATTAATGGAATATCTTTGAAAATCTAATAAATATTCAAGTTTTCATTTATCTCAGTCAAAAATGTACACGTTGGAGTTTTTGAAGTTTCGCCATAAAATATTCAGCCCCGAAAGATATTCATCATTAGTATACGAAATATTTATTGTACTATATTTTTTAAGTGTCATCAAACATATATTACCTTAAGTAGAAGAGATTCAGATTCGTAATTTTCGTACAATAATAAGAGTAATTCATTGTACGTTGTATTTTTGTACTTTCATATCAAATATTCATATTCGTATCACTTATACCATGCTTTTGTGAAAACTTCCTTAGTCTTCCAAATCCCATTCGAAGCATTTCGTCCTACTAAAAAAAAAAAATAAATTTGTTATTATATACAAATACTAAGGAAAAGAATATTTTCAGAGTACAATTGTCAGAACACATTGGGAAAATCATTGATATTTGTGTCAGTGTTGATATTGTCATCACAAAATTAAATCTTAGTAAAATTTTTAATTACTGAGATGGGATACAGAATTTTTAATTCCTAATTATAAAATTTGGATTATGACCAGTTAAATCAACTATTTTTACAATTGTGATATTCGGGAAATTGGAATGAAATATCTTAGAAGTATTTTTACGTATAGTTTTAAAATTAACTGTCTTCCCGATGATATAATTTTTGGAAACCTCAATGTTATATTCAACGAAATAGACAGGGAAAACAAGAATAAAATTTACCTTATTATTACATGGTTCTATATTTCAAATGTAGAGATCCGCTTCATAAAGTAATATGCTGCATCCCATAGGTTGTAGAGTTTCAGTACTGTAAATAAATATTACTATTATATATATGGAAAACGCAAATGAAGAATTTAATACTAAAATTTAGCACCTTTTGTGATGTGTAATGTAATTTGTAATGTAAAAACAAACCATGACACTTTTTTTTAAATATTATATTCTTTTTCTTAAGCTTTGACTGAACAAAAACCGATGTCGCCTAAGCAAAATAATTTGTTTTCACAATCAGTGTGCAAGGATCGACACGCGCGGTCTGTAATGTGAAGCTAAAGTCTGCAGCCGATCTCTGAGCAGGGGCCGGGCCTGAACGGAAAGTTTAACGCCGGACCCTGGGGACCGGCGTGACGTTTAATGTGTCAAGTATGAATATGAATCGTATCTTACTACGAAGAGCGTACACAGGTGTCTGTTGTAACGAAAGAGTTAACATTCTACATTCTGTATAGTGGAAATATAATGTTGTTGTTAATTTTTTAATTCAAAATCAATATAAAGCTCAGCACATAATTGTTATACAAACAATTGTAAAATCATCTATAGTTTATAGATAAGTTATTTCATGAAATATGTTCCTCGAACACTTACCACTTTCGTTTCTAATATGTTCCTTGTATATGTCTTCAGCCAGCAACCGCTACAAACATCTGCAAAGACAAAAAATTAAATAAGCATTTCATATGATAACATGATGCTGATCCGTTGATTCAATCCAAAAATCGACAAATTAATGTACGTGTTCCGTATAAAATATAACGGAAACATTGTTTGATAAGTAAAACCTGTATGAGTGATTATTTCAGAACTTCACAATCCTAAATTTCAAGAACATGTTCACTAAGTACCAGTGTATCAATTTCTCTTCAATAAAAAGCAATGTGAGCAAGCAAACAAATACTGTAAATATAAAAAAATTCTAGCGAAGATGCTGAAGAAAAATTGTATCATTAGACTAGATTTTAAAAAATCATTTTTAAAAGATATATTAAATATAAGATGATTATTAAAAGTTCAAATATTTGCACAAGTTGATTTTAGAACGAAAAATAGATGTTATTCAAGAAATGAATGTGATGTTGGAGCTGGATGAAACGTAAATTATTATAGGATATATATGGAAATTATTACGTCGAGTTCTCCTACCTATTCAATTTTAAATGTTACATATTAAGGCAGTTCAATTCATTAGCAATATAATGCAGTAATTTTAATCAATTTTCATGTGTCTAACAATGTTCAGAAAATTCATCCCACATATGTTTACCACCCAGACAGTAAGTAATACTTTCATAAACAATTCTATAAAGGTTTTTTTGTTCAGATGGTAATTATGTACAGCAGCCTAGATTTCAAATAGCAAACCTAGACAACCATTTGCTAAAATTGGTACGTAAATACATTTTGGTTGTCATAGGTAAAAAAATACAGTCTAGGCTGGTAAATTTGCACACAAGTATTAAGTTTTCTATTTTTCTTTACAGATTCGTATAATAAAACGATTGGGTTTTGTATAATGATGCAGAAATATTAAGGTTCAGAGTACAGTCAATTTATATTGAATCCAGATGACGAAATATACCATTTATGGAATGTAACTCCTTCAATTGCTCCTAATAGTTTTGGAGTTTTGCACCCATCAGAGAGATAAATTTAGATATAGTGGCAAAGATTACAAATTATACAATATTTAAATTAAGATGTTACTTATCTATAACATCTAAATTGTAAACAATAATAAAAGAATTTGTCATTTGTATTCATAAGATTTTTAAAATATTGTCACTATATATACTATGTTCATAATTTAAATTATGAATTAATTTCATAAGTTATAACTTAAGCAAATCTTTTTGTAAGCTTTGCCATATGTTTATTTCAACGTTCCCACCCGAATATTAAAATAGAATTACGCATAATAACATTTTTACAATATCTACTCACCTCATACCAGTAGATTCATTGACTAGTAGTTTCAAGTAAGTAAGCCTATCTTGTCATTGTTGTCTCTCCTTCGTTAAAAGACTCTTGATTAAGAAATGTTCATTTCAGCTTATACCGTGCATTATTTTGTACCATTGCGGGCAAGTGCGTGTACTCGAGCAGTTGTTTTCTTCGAGAGAAAACATGAACATTTTTTTCACAAAAATGCATGCACGTATCCGCAAATTGTCCTCAAAAATTTTCAGAAACGATTACGATGAGATCACGATATAGTTTTTCTTAATTCAGTCACATGTATAGCGTGTATTACCGTTAAAGGAATTTCGTTGGGGCTCCATTGAGCACGCATAGAGATATGCATATACGTCCTCCCATAAAGAGGACTGATTTAATCTCAACAAATATACAATCTATTTAAGAGCACTTGATGATGCTAAATTTTTCACGTTGGGAGTAATGTTTCTAACATTAGTACAAGCAAGTTTCAACTAACTATTAACCTGGTATAATAATTTCAAAGTATGTTGTATGAATACTTTCATGTAGTTTATACCCACGCAAAGTAGTATAGCTGAATTAAATCAGTTTTCAATCAGTGATTAAAGATATAAAACTCCGGTATGTAAATATCATCTTGTTGGGGGGAGGGGGGGGGGG